AAATTGGGCATTTTAGAAATTGCAATACAAGCTTATGCATCAAAATGCATTTAATGGCAATTACAACTTTGCTGCTGACTATTGCATGCAGTCAAGGAGATTACATAGAGTCTCATTTCGAATTTGCTGGCCATGTTCCCACACCAGTCGATGCTGATGCTGCTAGTAAGGAGAGGACTTTAAGTCACTGCTTTTCCTCATGTGTACAGAACAGCAATTGTTATTTTTTCGACTTTTGTCACAACAGTGTTACTGAGACTTGCTACACGTACGAAAGGAACAGAACAAATGTCATTGGGGCAGGTGGTGGGTCATGCAAACGCTATAAACTGGTGAGATTAAATTGTATTTAATTTACTGAATATTATATATCATATCATTATACAAGAGTTCTTATCTGTCTTTTTATGGTTTTCAAAATGTTGTTAATTTTTTTGTACATGGAAAATAATTATTTGATTTAATATTTAAAAAATTATTTAGATACAATTGTGCGAGAAAGACTTTACAAAACCTTGCAGATGTCCTGAAGATCGTGGCGGAGAAAGATGTCAATACAAATATGGTAAGATTTTAACTAAAGGCTTATTTTAATATGTAATATATTATAAATATAACATCCAAACAAAAAGGCTAGATTTATTTATTGAATATTTTGTATTTAAAAGATTGCAGTGGAAATCTTGTACACCTTGCGACAACTTCATATTCAGTTCTTCGAGAGTTTTCAAATGGATATACACATGAACTATTTTGCGACATGGTAACGGATGGTGGAAGTTGGATAGTAAGTTATCGTTTTACATGCCTTTTTTGTCCCTGTCAAACTCATTTAACATTAATTTTTTTTAATTAAGCTACAATTAAAGGCAAGACATGTGTAAAAAAAATTTTACATGCAAGCATTTGCTAAGCATTAAATACACTATATGAAGTGCAGACGTGTACCAAAATGGAAGATAATTTTATTTTTTCCCTATATATTTCATTTAAAATAACATTTTGTAAAATCACTGGTATAAAAATATTTCTTGACAGATTTTATTACAAATTTCTTGATAATCCACGAAATTGTTGTAGTTAATAAAAACAATAGTTCCACGTGATCACTATTAATATTTTAAATTATTGAAATTTAAAAGCGACATGAAGTTTTAAGTTGCATAATGTCACAATGAAATACATATAGTCAACGTTGATGTTGAATTTTAAGACTGATGTTAAGTGATGATTTTTTTTCCCTTAAAACTAAATATGTAATTATCTTTTAAAGAAATTCTGGTTTAAGTATCGAAATAAATAATACAATCGGACGAAAATTGACCATTTGCCAGTGATTTTACAAAATGCTGCTTTCAATGAAATATACCAGTATAGAGAAAAACTAAAATTATCTCCTCTTTTGTCACAAAACTGTATATGGAGATAATGAACAATATCCATCAAACAATACAAAATAGTAGCAGTGTAAACATGGACCTTCAAAACATCAGTGGTTGGGTCAGGTGCCGCGGATGAGTGAGCATCCCCTGCCGACTAGTAACACCAGGTGTGTGCTCCTTGTCTTGATCGGGAAATAACGAAAAAATCCGACGACAATTCAGTGTGTATATAATGGGCTAACAAGTAGTTTAAAAAACTTCAGACAGCATTTGATTCAATGATAAATCGTATTTGCTAACAAGGATATTATATCGACCATAGAGCTTACGAAATGATGACTTTAAACGAGACTTCTAATATTCTTGTTTTTTCATCAACTTGTTTGTCAATAATTTACATCGTTATAGAAATTTTACGTATATTATGTAGAGCATGCTCTTGTTTACCTCATGTATATATTCCTTTTTAAAATTAATTTTAATTCATATATCATATATATGGATGTATACGAATTTCCAAATGGTATGACTTTTTCTTTCTTTTCCTGACATTAATACTTGACATAATAGTATGTTCCATAACTGTATCCTACTAAAACTGTCAAATTCAAGTTTAATTTTCAACATGACTGATAAACAGTCAACATGTTTCTTTCTTTCAAAACTAACATTGTACATGTGAATATCAAGCAGTGCATCATGTATTTGAAATATCTGATAATAACAAACATCTATCCTGTTCAAAATCCATTCCAATTTTACTCAACAATTTGATAGATAAAAACCCACAGAACATTAAAAGTATCAGAGGTGGAATCAAGTATCGCGGAGAAGTAAGCATCGCTGTCGATCAGTTGAACCCTTCTTGAGCTCTTTGTATTCAGTCGTTTGATAATACTTTTTGTAATTTATAATACATACAATAGTCATATTCTGATCTATTATAATTGAAAACGAAAACAATTATTTAGCATTCCATTGAGCGGCAGGTTCCATTTGCAAAAAGACCATTGTACTTACTATATAATTATATTTTAACTGTCGACTTCCGGTGACAGTTTTATCTTTTGTAAAACTTCATTCTTTGTCATTTCTCGATTATTGATACGTGTTGAAGAACAAATTCGATGTGATATCGACGATATCGACACTATTATGTCGATATGATATCGATATCTATCCTGACTAGAACCATGGATTAGTAATACTAGATACAATTTATGAGATTCAGTGCGATGTCGATGTCATCGATATCGACAATACTATGTCGATATGGAATCGATATCAATCCTGATTTGTAAAATTATTTTTAAAAATGGGATACAACATAATAATACATGGTCAAAAGCAAAGTCGGTATAAATTCATTTTGACATACTGTTTTTAATTAACAAGTATAATACAAATAAGGACTCAATGTAAGTCAATATGCATTTATAATGATCCAGGATGACAGACATTGACCATGGAGTATATCGACCGAGGGCGCTAGACCAATGTCGATATTCTACATGTATCTGAGGTCAATATCTGTCATCCTAGGTCATTATAAATGTATATTGACCGTGAAATGAGTCCATATCTATTATATTACATAATTTCCTGAATCTATTTATGTACATCTTCCTTGTGTTTACAGAGATAATGATGTGCTGTTGTTGTAAAGCATAAATAAGTTGAATGTAAATGTTTCATAATTTATTGAATGTTACCCACAGGCACTTGTTTCGATAATAAATATTAAACCCTTTATAACACAAGGTATCTAACTCGAAAAAACACAGATTACCCCTTCCTCCAGAATCGCACTCATTTCCACTTGCGGAGGAAATGCACTGACAAAATGTTAATACCTAGGTCTTCTACGATTATTTATCTACACAGCCATGCATGGCATGCTTGTGATGCTTGTCTATATGTTCTTAAGTCTCCGTAAACAGCGTCAAAACTCTGCTCGCCGAGTCGAAAAGAAGAATTCAACCATGAAATGGTATGTGCTAAGTATTTCGCAAAATGTTAACAGATATCCTTGTTAATCGTTTTGCATTCTCAGTCTCAGAATTCCTCGCTATATCCTTTAAATCTTCCTCACTACAGCTAGCAATTGCCAACTTTTGTATCCATGTTTGACTGAAGCTAAAGTGAAAACGAGACTACTCGCGCGAGTCATTATTTGCTTCCAGTGGTCATTATAAAAAATATAAATTACATCGTATTAACGGATTTCACAAAGTGATGTAATATTAAGTAATAATTTAGCAAACTATCAAAAGTTATCTGTCGATATCGTAACTACATCATGTCTTGGACATAACTCATCGAATCAATGGAGAGACATTTGTAGGTGAAAATGCTATATTAATACATATATATATTATATAATAGATAGAAGAAGCTCATTATAACATAAAGCTTAAACCATCATGTTTATAATAACGCTTAGTTGTAACTTTTTTATCAGGGTTTTATGTAAAGACAACAAATATTATAATAAAATTGAATTGAAATTAGTCATGCTTACATAAATATTCAAAAAATATTTCATCCACAATATAAGAAGAGAGTATAATCCTCGACATTGACAGACCAGCTTGGGAATTTAAAACGACAACTTTTCGGTTTGATGTTAAATCCCTGTCATACCGGTCTGTGTCCTCACGGCGATCGCACGGCATCCATAATCAAAGTACTGATACAGTACTGAAAGACGGGGTCAAAATAATTTTCATGCTAGATTTCACAAATGTTATATAATTTGAGTTTTGATATTTTCTTTATTAACAAACTAAAAACAAAACTATGAATAATATAAATTCGCTTTTTCCATTTAATTTGAAGTAGAATTTTCAATAATTGCTAAGTCTAGAAACCTTTTTGAATTTTCCGAATTTCACCTGGTCCAAATTAATATTTTCCGGAAGTAAACAATGAATGATGCGTACGCAGTCGTAATACTACGCAGGAGAGTACTTTTGTTTACTTGTTTCTTTTACAATTAATATTTTGATTTTAAATTTACTAAATGCTTCACTAATTTGATTTGAAAAAAAGTTCATATCACTTTCTTCAGTTTAATACAGAATGTTTATATTTCTGCACTCTTTCATATAGCGTAGATTTAATTCATGTTATCACCACGGCTTCATTTCTGAGGGGCTCTGACAGTAAACTAATAGACGGGGTCACGTGACCCCGTCTAAAAATTGCAAAAAGCCGAGGTGGTCGCAGTAGAGTCTTCTACAGCGCCGTGACAACGCGGCGAAATCCACTGAACGCGGTAGGATCTCCTAGAACGCCAGGGGACGGCGATCACTTTGGGCTTTTTAAGAAAATTTATTTTTTTTTCAAAGTGCGTTGGCTTGGTCCCAAATTTAACGCACTTTGAAAAACTTTTTTCAAAGTGCGTAATTTTTCAAAGTGCGTTGTAACACATGTGATGAAAACGACCTCAACTTGAATTTTCAACACTCAACATACGACATGTTTTATTTTTATCACAACACACTCTAAAATCACTTAAATAAAAAAAGGTTAAACTGAAAACTCAGATTTTCATATTTAATCTGAATATGCGTTTCTTTTTTGTTGAGTATATATGATATTAAAATGTTCTTAAACATGAAGTTGATTGTTTCCTTGAAGATCTTTCAAAAACGTATGGACGGAAGTGTTGATTTCTACAGGAACTGGAATGACTATACCAATGGGTTTGGGAACATGAATGAATATTATAAAGGTACAGATATATATATATATATATATATATATGGGAAATTTAAGGAAGAAATATGAATTTTCAAAACTATGTAACTTTGAATTTGGATTTTTTTCTTCAAAGGTTTGCTAATCACTATAAAAATGAACTTAAGGAGTTTTCAATAATTGTTGTCACCATTCTTTATTTCCAAAGCCCTTTATTCAGGCTGATGAATGACTAAAGCTATAAAATCTTTAAATTTATTCTTTTAAAAAAATAATCGAAAATGCATCAAACAGAAGCAATATTTTACTAAAAACAAGTATTCCGTTTGAAAAACTATTTGACGTGAGAACATAGAGTCAGCATCAGGAAATGTCTTGAAATAAGTAAAATTTGTAAACATTCATTTTTATTTTGATAAACATAAACTTATATTTTTTTTTCAATTTGAGCTAATTTTAAATATTTGTTTTATGAGTATGTGTACACGTACGGACAAGTTGCAAGAAAATAAAATTTTAGAAGCACATTTTGTAAACGTTTTTTTTTTCTTATTTACAGGATTAGTTATCATGTTTCGGAATATTCGTGGCGATTTTCGTGGCAAGATTAGGGCTAACAAAATATGTTAATGACCTAGGTACGCTTTTGGCGTCATCGAAAGTAGATGGAGACAATGAAATTTCATGTAATTGTATGGCTAAGTGATGTAACAAGCATTTTCTAAAAATTCGAATATTATTATATATCTATACACTGAGTAAATACATGTAGTGTCTCATTAAACATTCGAATCATCTATTTTTCTATTTATATCTTCAAACTATTCCTTTATTAATACAACTGATTACAATTATTCTTTTGCTGCTACAGGTATCTTCGTTTTATTTGTTTATTCTATAGAAAGGCAGAGTAGATTTTGTGCTTATATACGTTTCGTTGTGTACTTCATGAGTATTCTACAAGGAAAAGAAAGTATGATAGAAATAACTTTTTTTCATTTGTCTTATTTGAAAATAATTTGATTGGATACAAGATTTAGTTTATTTCGTATAACATATGTTTTCTACGACACATTGAATTACGTCAACGAGGAATTAAACTCCGCATGACTTTTAAAATATGCTCAATTAGTGAAGCCGTTTTTGAATTTAAAATAAAAGTCCTACAGTCTACACTGAATGATGAAAAATTCAATTATAAGGAATAAATTCAAAAGCACCCGAAGGTTTACTGGTATAATTATTTAATTATAGGAAATGCTCTTATGTATACATGTATTCTGCAAATTTCCATCTTACGATAGGTAGGGGTGGTTCAAAATTTATCTGTTTTCCTCCAAAATCGGAGGATAAACTTACCCATAATGCAATGTGATTTTTCTAATATATGGTACAACTGGACGCCATATTTAAATACCACCGAAAAGAAGACTACTTATTAGACCAGGAAACATAATAAAATATGATCTTGATTTTATTTGCGAGAATTGTAAATCAAATTAATTATCTCCTCGCAAAGGAGTTTGAGAAGTTACAGTAACGCAATATTGTAGGTGACTGAGTATGTGTTGTTCGAAATGAAAGTGTTGTTATTTGCGTCAGTATCATTATCAAATACTGCCTTGATTTATTGATTTACTCTTTGCAAGATACGTTCCGCTTTTCGGTGCTCTTGTTTGACATAAAATCTTTATATTAAATTCATGGTTATATTTTAATTTTCATATTTACGCTTATTCTCAGGAAATCAGGCACTGTATGAAATTGTAAAAGATGGAAATTTTGAGCTAAGAATCGACATGGAAGACAAAATAGGGGAATGGCGATACGCAAAGTATTCTCATTTCTCCATTGGCGGTCCTGATACAAACTACACTCTGAGTGTCTCTGGATATACGGGGAATGCTGGTGAGTTTACAAGTATAAAGTACACCAGAATGTAAAAGATCTCTTAAACTATTGTTATTATGATATTATAATAATATTTATGTTTTATATATTTTGTTGACCTAATTTTAATTCTAAAACTGGAGGTACTGTGAGAAATGAGCTCACTAAATGATACCCCCGCCTCCCATATGTATAAAATAGCATTGTCTATGTTTTGCTATGGTAAACCCAAAATATGTATCGGATCAAAAAGTAAAATAGGAGGTCACAATGGCAATATGTAATAAAGATTCGTGAAAATTTTATCAAATTTCATTATGTGGTATGAGAGGCGTTGCGGATAAGAGATTGGTACCCCAAAGTGTAACATACAGACGGACGGACGTACAGCTAGACAGACGGACGGGCGGACAGACATACTGAATACTATATACCCTCCCGCTTTTCAAGCGGGGATATAATGATGCTCAATGCACCCAAGAAAGTGTATGTTGAGGAATATCTAGAGCAAATCTACAGTTTAAAAAGCACAAACCTGGTCTCAAGAAGATAAGTACAGTCTAGAATCAAAATTTAGATTTTGAGTATCTCAATTTTTATTTATAAAGCATGTTTAAAAGGTTCCAAGCTTGCGAAGGATAATGAAAATTGTTATACCCCCCGCTTCAAAAACGGGAGGGTATATAGTAATCGGAATGTCCGTCCGTCTTTCCGTTTGTCAATCTGTCTGATACGCTTTGGTGTACGCATTTCTTATCCGCAACCTTTCTTTATACCACTGAGTTAAATTTGATGAAACTTTCACAGTATCTTTACTACATATTGCAATTTTGACCTCCTTTTTTACTTTTTGATCCGAAACATACTTTTGTTTTCCCATAGCAAAACATGAACACTGCCAGTATATTCATATGGGAGGCGGGGGGGGTATCATTTAGTTAGCTCATTGCTCACAAAACATCTTGTTTAATTTTATATTTTTTTTTTTTTTAAATTATACAAATGTGATTTTTGAAGTGAAACATATGGAGATACCGAAAAGTATTCAAAATCAAAGTCCATAAAACAATACAAAATAGGAACAGAGCGAACAGGGACCTCCAAACATCAGAGGTAGGATCAGGTGCCATAGAGGAGTGAGTATCCCCTGCCGAACAGTCACACCTACCCTGTGCTCCTTGATCGGGAAATAACGAAAAAAATCCTTCGTCGATTCTGTGTATAAATGATTGACTAACAATGAGCATGAAAAATGTCAATAAGCATTTCACACATTGATAAACTGTATTTGCTGACAAGGTCATTTCTTTCGATGACTGCTGATATTTTTTGTTTCATCGACTTGTTTGTCAAAATTTTACTTCGTTTTAAAAAATTTTCATACGTAGAGCATGCTCTTGCATATCGAATCGATTGAGATACATAAACTCCGTATGCAGATGATGAAGCAAAACTGTTTTCAGTTTATGGTATTGAAGCCTGACTATATGCTATTTGCAGTAAATAAAAGTGACGATAAAGAAGAGTATTTGATTAAAAATAAAACATGAACAATGTAAAAATGTGAAAAAGACGTAAAATAAAGGCCCCTAGCAATTCAAGAGGTAGGAGCAAGTGTATGGAGGAAGTAAATATCGCCTGTCGACAGGTCACACTTGCCCTTTGCACCTTGTCATGATCGAGCAAACTGAAAAATCCGTGGACAATTCTATGTGAAAGTCGACTCAATAATTTGCACGAAAAATGTCAGTCAACATTTAAATTAACAATAAATTGTATTTGCAGGTATTGAAACATTGTATCGAACATAAAATTTGCAAAAGGTTGTATTTATACGGGATTATTGATATTCCTGAATTATAAACTTATTTGTCAGAAGATTGCAAGGCTGTAGAAATTGTTCGTAAGTAAATCATACTTTATGTATCTAAGTGTCGTTATAGTTGAGAAAAAATAAACTTAAGAAAAAATATTCCAAATCCCTTTGATAATGATATATTTCCAAAAAAAAAAGAAGAAGAAGAAAAGCTGATGGTTAAACGGTTTTTGTCGTTAAAGGTTGCCATTTTTATGCTTTTTCTGTAAAGCATGTAACAAACATTTTCGGGACTTGCATTGTTACCTAGTAGTTCTATCAGATATATTGTATCCAGATATATAATTGATATTTTACTGATTATAGACGACAATTAGGAGTCAATTAACAACCATGCTGTATAACGAAAGATATAAATTTGATATTTCCATCCGTACCGCGAATTTCCCTCATTCGTGCTGTAACATTCCATAATCACTTTCTTATGGTGTTTATGCTTTCAGGATTTCGTTAATACACTGACCTTTTTGCATATAATTATTCATTGTGTAAGCCAATGAAGAAAACTTATTTATTTCAAAGTTCCTAATTTTATTACTCATGGTCGAACATCTTAATATACCATTGTATTTCCGTTCAAATTTTATTACTTAGTATCGATGGGCTTGATTGGTCTATTCGGATTAATTTCATTATAAAATGATTTACCAAATTATAGGGCATTTGAACAACAACAAAATCAAATTTGTTTTAACAAGATAATTATAGTTTATTAAATTAAAGTCCTTTTTCCAATTATAAATTCACCGAATTTAAGTCACATATAATATATATTCTAATTTAATAAACCTTAATATCATTTTACTTTTATTACTTATAACTAAATATGATTATGATATTAATATTGTCTAAGTTTAAAATGTTCAGATAAAATGTCCGTTCTAAACACTATAGGTTTATTATTGGCTTGTATTTTGACTTACTTATATTATAATCATTTTATACTTTGTTATGTTAATGTTTTATATTAAATAATTTTACAACTGAGTATTCCGTCTACACTTAACAGAGCTTCTTAATGTTCACTTTAATAAATGTATTTATTTAAAAAAAAAACTACTTTATAGAATGGCATGATATTTTCAAATTATAACAACAAATGAGTCTTCACAAATTGTTGAAATAAAAATATGGTAATGAGTTGAAATTTTTGGCAAGCCCCCCCCCCCTCCCCACAATTTAAACGGTTTGGAAAGGTCTATGCAGTAGGCGTGGCAGCAGATGGTTCAATTTCCTATTCAGGGGTACATGATATCCAACAGTAAAGGATGTCTTGTAGTAATTAGAGCGAGTGGGGGTCTTACTCCTTAGAGATTATTTTGTGTGAATTTTCCTTTTAAGGGTACATCATTTCCTTGACTTAAATTCTGACGAGGTACTTACATGAAATTTACGAAACATCGAACCGAAATATGCATCATTAACCATGAATGAAAGAAATCATTTATTGTATGCATTTATTCTTCAAAACGTAAAAAATGTTAGGTTAGCATAAAAATATATATCAATGCATAAGGTTCACTGCGAGTGTAAACATTTGACAGGGAATGCTTTTTCCTCCTTGGCACCTGATACTACATTTGGAATTGACAAGGATTTGCCATTTTCATTTTTGTATTGTTTGTGAGTTTTATGACATTGATGAATGATAGTCATCTTTACCTTTGCGTTTTTTAACGATTGTGATCGTATTCTGCTATCAATTGTAGGCGACAGCTTGAGTTTTCACAATGGCTTTCAGTTTTCTACATACGACAGGGATAACGACCAACATGCAGGTGTTAATTGTGCAGAGTTTTGTCATGGTGCTTGGTGGTATTACGCATGCTCTCACAGTAATCTAAATGGCGATTACGGAAATGATTTGTATGCAAAAGGTTTAAACTGGTATCATTGGCATGATTTCGACTATTCACTTAAATCATCACAGATGATGGTAAGGATAAAAAGAACGTGATTAAAATTCAGTGTTTAAAAAGAAAACAGAAAGGTACATGTGGAACAATGGTACTTGTACGTAAATAATTGAAACTGATTTACATATTAGATATGCTATATTTTATTTGCATTGTTTACGTATGCCACGTTGAAAGGGTATAAACACAATTTCAACAGATTTTTTTTTACCAATTATAATGTTTACAATTTTTAGATAAGAAAATTCTAATGATCAGCAACAAAATTTGTTGTTTATAAAGGAGATACAGATCTGAAAATTCTTCATGATGTAAACTAGGCTCGTGTTTATGACAAAACGAGATTCAGCAAATCACTAGAAACTGTCTAATCATATTCAGAATTAAATTTTTGATGAAAAAAAAAATTTGCTTTGAACGAACATATATTAGTATATATAACCTATGTAAACAAAACATGGCACAGGCCTTGTTTACATAACAATTGAAAGTTGGGAGCTCTAAATCTGTCTTGTATCTCAACACTTGACATACAAATTTTGATGATCATTAGAAATACCTAAGTTAAATTTTGGAAAAAATAAAATTTGGAAATTTCTTGTTGAAACTGTGTCTTGCCCCTTTCAAGGTATTTTCCTCCTAAGTGAATTAAAATGTGCATGCATTAGGAAAATAAATTTCACAGGGACATCTTAATCGAATATGCAGATGTTTTAATCGAACGACAGTTAATTACGCAAGTAAATGTTTTTGTGAGTCAAAGTCAGATTTTGTCATTGTACAATACCTATATAAGACTATTTTTTACACTCTTAGTCATAAGAATCTACTAAAAGATGAAATGATTGTATGTTGTTTTATGTCCGATTAGAGAATAATTGGCACAAGTAAAAACACTACCAAATACCTGAAGGGCTTAACATTTAGACCTTTACTCGGCACTGGGGCGATTGAGCAGTAAGGGTTTCTTTTTCATGCCATCAGCTTCCGAAAGGGGGCATCGGTCTTTTAAGATCCCATCCGAAGAACCCAATACTCTCACTTTTATTTGCCAAGCGCTAAAAGATAAAAAAAAATTCCAAGTATTTTCATCGACTTAGGTCGATCACAACTGTGAGTCGAACCCGAGACCTTACGATCACTCAGTAACACCAGTTGAAGAACGCTATATACATATGTTTGAGACTCAATATGAGTGAAAAATTCTCGAACAGGACGTAAAACAATACACAATCAATCAATCAATCAATCTACGCGTACAAAAACAACAAATGCCCAAGAAAAATCAACAAGAGAGGGAAGGGCTTTAATGGTCAACCGAGTACAACAATTATAGAGTACCATGTTTGAATCATGATGAAGCTATGAATTTAAGGAAAATTTTAAACTACAAATCATCATTTACCTATCGAAACTGGAAAATGGTAGATCAAACTCTTGTGTATTGAAACAACTGAGAGATATAAACCCATCAGGTGCTAAAGGTATACTGCTGCAAAAAGTAAGGGACGTTGACGATTGAAAAGTTAAAGTCATAAAGTCATAGAGCAAACTCTGCTTATTGTTGTTCTGTTGCATTATTTTTGACACAAATGACAGAGGAAAGGCCGACTGGGATACGTATATAGCTGACTGTCTTTAAAAGAGAATATAATCGATAAAAATGAACTAGCATACCTGTTTATTTAACTGAATTCCATATGAATTTCACAAAATATTCACGATATTTGCTTTTGAACTCCATTTACGTATCTTAGTACATGCCGTCTTACCCAAATTCTCTTTACACGACATTATAAATTCCAAAGTTACTTGATGTACACATATGACGTCATCGGTGGTAGATTTTAACCAAAATGACAGAATACGGCATAACAAAATAAAAACATTTCATTTTTGTTATTGTTTACACGATTTATCATTTTTTAGAGTTAAATTTCATCTCTAAATACCAATACTACGAAAACTTGTGTTCTACTATGACGTCATAATGAAGCATTGCTTTAGTCAAGTAAAATATTTTGTATGCTTCCTTATCCCCCTGCGAAAAAAGGAAAGAAAATTGATCGTTCTGGATTCGATCCCGGTTCCTCTCACTCTTGACGTGAGACACATACCATTACACCACGGAACCGCACTTAACAGGCGGAAATTATATGCAAACATGAGATCACAATCATGTTTATATTCACGTCCTTGGGAATTTTGGTACAAAATTTCATGTATATATTCACTCCCTAGGGACTTTTGGCATAATATTTCATTACAAAAGCTAAAGATCTTCTTGAAATATCTCCTGGAAACGATAGTGTTACACACAGACAGAGTGTATAAATGTACGGCCTTGAACTTTGACCTTTTGACCTCAAAATCAATAGGGGTCTTCTTTAGGCCACTTGAGTTGTTATGCAATATTCTATTGCGAAAAGCTCACCGGATCCTCGAGATATCGCGCGGAAATGAAAGTGTTTTAACATGAAGAATTTATTGATTTATGGACTTGACCTTTGACCTTTTGACCTCAAAATCAATAGGGTTTTTTTTAGGCTATAGGAAGTTGCTATACAAAATTTCATTGCAAAGGCTTAAAGGGTTTTTGAGATATCATGATTAAACGAAAGCGTTATAGACAGACAGAAAGACGGACAGCTAGATGGACGGACGGACAGACCCAAATTAAAATCCCCCACTTTCAGTGAAATCGGGGGACAATAATCAAGTAACAACGGAGCATTCCGCAGTTTTTTTTTTCTTGTTTTGTTTTTTGGTTATTTTACGTCCTTCAATATAAAGAAAGAAGCAAACGCTGCAGACACTTTTCCTTGTATAAAATGTAGATTTAGAAATGCCGTAGACAAATTATTATATTGTATTTCAACATCAAAACATTAATTTCATTAGTTACATCAGTTTTGTATAATTCTAAATGCATGTTCACAAATTTCAGTCGGGTGAAAAAAAAGAAATTTTAAAGCCACATGTATTAAATCCTTATCTTTTTAGATTTATTGACAGCAAGTTGTGCAATCATTTAAATTGAATTAAATTTCCTAAGTAGTATATTTTATATTTATTTAAGATTTGGTAGCGTGTAACAGGTTACGAGATCATGTTTTTGCCTATTTACTCTGTGAAGCCATAATAAAACAAGCATTCTGAGAGTATTGCATAAGCAATACATGTCCCCTACCGGGTTCCCCTTTTTCTTCAGGATGTCATTTTATAATGTGCAAAAGTCATATCCAAGGTAAAACTGAAAGATTTTCAAGTTGTAAATGCCTTAAAACTAATAAAATAATCCTCATTAAGAGACAATTCAACTCATTTCTCCATCGTCTTTTTCCTCGCTTCATATTTTTGTCGACAATCGGAAGTTAGCGCAGTTCGAACCCGATCTTAATTAAGCGATTATGAAAAATATTCAAAATGCCATAATTCTGTCAAAAATCAATGAAGCGAAGCGAAATTCAAACTTGATCTGTAACTCATTAAGATACACTTACATACCAAAATTCAGCTCAATATCTGCAGGCGTTTAGAAAAAAAGTGTGGAAAACCAAGTGGGACAGACAGACGGACAGACAGACAGACAGACGGACGGACGGACGCAGAGGAAACCTATAGTCCCCCCCCCCCCCGGTTTCACCGGTAGGGGACTAATAATCTCCCACGGAGAAAAATGAAGTTCTATATCGCTCTAAAGATTATTTTAATTGCTTAAGTAAATAAAACAGGAAATATTCCCACTCAAGAAAATGCAATATTAAACGCAAAAGACGTTTAATACAGCTCGAGCCATTGCTCCCTGCCTTAAAACTGTCTGCAATTGCATAATATAATGATAATATAGAGGCACATTTAACTTCGTTTTTACTTGATACCTTTTGTTCTTTCTGTGATACGATTCTTTTGATTGCTTCAATTAATATTTTGTTCGGTTGAGTATATCGGAAAGACTCTAATTTTTGTATTCTCTGGTTTAACCCCTACATAACGATATTATGTCCATGCAAACAAATTTTCATGAAGGGTTCCAATAAATGTCTTCCAAGCCTCTTTCGTTACACTTCAGAGAAATAGCTATATATATTTACAGCAGAGAAGGAGAAAGAGGTTAGGGTAAGGCTTAGTTTATTGAAAGGTAAATAATAAATAAATTCTTTCCATGACTAAAATATGATTTTTTTTTTTCAAAGTGCGTTAAGTCTCTTAACGCACTTTGAAAATTTTTTTCAAAGTGCGTTGATTTTGTCCCAATTCTAACGCACTTTGAATTTTTTTTCAAAGTGCGTAATTTTTTCAAAGTGCGTTGCCACATAGCGTGCTTCATAAAATACGCCTGCGTGACAAGTCTTTTTGATTTAGACATCAATGAATCACACAAACTTAAAACATTCCTTAATTAAAGACGAACGGACGAAAACAGATAGCAATAGCTCACCTTAGTGATTCAGGTGGCCTAAACAAATCCTCATTTATAGCCTCGTATTCCGTTTTTACTTTATTTTGTTCATGTATGAGTTTTTTCAATACTTTTCAAACATTTAGCTAAAGCTATATATGTTATTTTCCCTGTAGAGTGTAGATTTCAATAAAGCCGTCTGAAAACCATCATTCTTCACTTTACTATATAAAAGCAAAATGAAATGTTAGCAGTGAAAACGGCGAAACACGAATTTTCATGTAGAACAGTTCTAGCATTGCTGTTAATAAGAGTTGTTGATCCAGAGGAATACGGAATAGAAATATTAAAAATGAAATATATGAAGAAAACGAACAGTTTTTGAGCTCAAAATTCCAAAAACCGAAACAAAATAGAAGCGGAGTAAACACGGTCCTCCAAAACTTCAGAGGTGAGATCAAGTGCCGGGGAGGAGTCAGAATCCCCTGCCGACCGGACATACCCGCTGTGTGCTTCTTGTCATAATCGGCACTGAACGGAAAATCTGTCTTCAATTTAGTTTGAAAATAATGCCCTTGCAACTAGTATGAAAAACGTCAGTAAGCATTTGGCAAAATGATAATTTGTATTTGTTGACAAAATCATCGTATCGACCATATAGAGCTTATGAAATCAT